ACGAGCCCATCGCCAATCAGGTTGTCGCGAGCGACTAGGGGTAGGTTCTCGTACGACCACCGTGGCGCTTCCACGAAGCTCAGCTCGAAGAGGTCAATTGCAACAAGGACGTGTTCACACTCTTCGGAATTGAAGTCCAGGCCAGAGTACGACAAATGTCCATGTAGTCAACCAACCGCAAGCACGGATACATACGATGCTTTGTCAGAGCGAATTCAAATCAGAACACCCTAGTCACTGTGCTTGGGATGCAAATCAGATGCAATCAGCAGTGTGTCACAATCGCGAGTCGGTTCGCGACCAAAGCTACAACTTGTCCCTCACTTTTGAATTTGCGAGCTGGACACCATGAAGTTGTTTGTCGCCCTCGTCGTTGCATCCGCCGCCGCCACCAAGCAGTCCGTGACCACCCTGTCGTCCGACGAACGCGCGACGCTGCGCGCGGAGTTGGCCAAGTGGCGCGAGGACTTTGGAGCCAAGGCCGCCGCCCGAGGCGTGCTGCCCCGCGCTGCCAAGCACATGAACCCGTTGGAGGCGGAAACGGACGCGCTCCAGCGCTTCTACGACAACAAGCTCGCGATTGAGGAAGCCCGCCGCAACAACCCCGAAGCCACGTTCGACTACAACCACCCGTTCGCTCTCATGACGCAAGCCGAGTTCAAGGCGCACGTGCGAGGCGTGATGTTCAAGGAAAGCCGCAGCGCGTTCCGCTCGGTCCGGTCGGTGCAGCTGAACGTGTCCGCTCCCAAGGCGGAATCGGTGGACTGGACCACGGGCGACTGTGTCAACCCCGTTCGCGACCAAGGCCAGTGCGGGTCGTGCTGGGCCTTCTCCGCCGTGGGAGCCGCCGAGCCCGCGCACTGCATCGTGACGGGAGAACTGCTCGACTTGTCCGAGCAACAAGTGACGAGCTGCTCGACCGACGCTGGCAGCGACGGCTGCAACGGCGGCTGGCCGTACGCGGCGCTCACGTACGCGTCCACGACTGGGCTGTGCTTGGAGAGTGACTACCCCTACACGTCGGGCGACTCGAGCATGACCGGCTCGTGCGACAGCAGCTCGTGCACCGTGCAGCAGCTCAGCATTGGCGAGACCGTCCGCGTGTCGGGCGAGGAGGCGTTGGACACGGCGCTCAACACGCAGCCCGTGTCGGTGATTGTCGAAGCGGGCAACTCTGTGTGGATGAACTACCGCTCGGGCATCATCACGCAATGCCCTGGCGCGGAATCGGACCACGCCGTCGTGGCCGTGGGGTACGACGACTCGTCCTACAAGCTCCGCAACTCGTGGAGCACCAGCTGGGGCGAAGACGGGTACATCCGCATCAAGCGCGGCGAGAGCGGCCTCGGCATGTGCAACGTCGCCGAGGACGTCGTGTTCCCCCAGATTGGCGACGGCCCCACGCCGACCGTGTCGCCGTCTCCGACCAAGCCCACGACCAGCCCCTCGCCCACGTCTGCCCAGCCTGACGTGTGTGAAAACTGCAGCGGATGCTACTACCCGGCCGGGGACATGTGTTTGCCGGATGAGTACACCAAGGAGGACTGCGACTACTACAGCGACGAGTTCGGCGCGGTGTGGTGCGGCCCTTAATCTCGCGTTCGCCGCTAGTGTATCTGTGTGAGGGTAATTCGTGAATAGATAGGCTTTTCACAAATCTGTGTCCCATCATCCTTTTACAACGCTCTGTCATCGCGCTCTTGATGTTCTTCGCTGTTGAGGGCGGTGGACGCTCTGTCATGGTTTGGGACCTCCTTCACATCTGAGAATGATCCCAAGTATACGTGCTTGAGATTGGCAAGTGTACCACCCGGTTTGGACGGTTAGTGATGACCTTCACGCTGAGCAAAGTGGCAGCACTGGCGACGATGGAAAAATCGTCCACGTCTTTTGCTCCCTCTACTTGCGTGTAGTGACCCTGGGTACCAAACGTTGGATTCAACGCGGAGTCGGTTAATGATGTCAACGTGATCCTGGACGATCGGTTCGATGACGATGGCATCGTCGAATTGTCCTCTGTTGTCTGCGCCAGCACTCAACGCCAGCTTCCGAACTCTCGTCGGTAGACTCGATGACAAATCGAAAAGTGATTTCATTCAATACGGGCCGTGGGGCAAACCCCTACCCCTTCTTCTCATACACACTCCTGCACGTGAGACGAGAACCGAGGTTAGACCGAGAACACTTCCCCCTGCAAAGTGTGGCCGCAAGTACGCTCAAGCTCCCCTACCATTTTGCGCCCTCGGTCGTCGTCGTCTTGAGCCGCCACCTAGCGCCGAAAGGTCACCGGTACATCTTCGTACACGGACAACGCTGGCTCCAAGGAAGACTCAATGTCTTCCAGTCCGAGCCACTTGACTTTCACTTGCCAGGTGCCATCGTGGATACGGAAGTCTTCGAGCTGCTCGACATAGAAGCCGTCGTCTCGAAATGCGATCAGTACCGTCAGATTTCCATCCACGTCACAGCCACCTTCATAATACATCCGTAGGCGGCAGGCATGGTACAACGACGTTGTGGCTGGTGGGATGATCCGTTGGACCTCCATCAGGTGGTCTGAAAACACCTTAACAACCCGATAAGGTCCGTTCCTGCGAAGTGTCTATTTTCCTGGATGCTGCGTCGCCCGTGCCACCAGTACAAAATCACTGAGCGCGAACTTCGCAAGTTGGGTTGATCGTTGTCGGCTACGGCGGTTGCACGCCTTTGCACGTTTCGACGATGCAATTTCAGAGATTCATTTGTGCATCCCGATGAGCGCTTCAGCTAACAGTGAGTCCAAGGTGAGCAAAGGTGGCTGCGGTTAAGTCCAAGTCGACTGCTGAGGCGCCTCAACAATGCGCAAAGCCTGGTGGTTGCGCCTACGGGTGACGTTGTTGGTGGTGTGCGGTGCAAGCGATGGTGGCAACGTGTTCCCGCGTAATTGTGATCCACGTACAATACGGTGTTCTCGCAATGTTTGTTCATCCGTGTCACTGTACTGTGCTGGTACGGCGTAGGCTATATGAAGTGTGCAGTCAGTACCCTAATACCCAAATTCACTTTTGCGTTTCCCTTGAGACAATGAGAGTCGCCAGCAGTACACTTGCCGATCCGGGGACACGAAAGTGAGAACACAACGGCGGGGTCCAAGTCCCAATCCAGAGGCACACATCCTCTCAAGTGGCCTCTGCAGCTCCAGGGGAGCCATCTCGCCTGCGCCGAGGGCTGCCTCAGACCAGGAATGGGGACGCTGGGAAGGCCGATGGGGGGAGCTATGGCAATCGCGGCTGTGAATGAGGTGGCGATGGTTCGAGTAGTGGTTCGGGTAATGGTGGTGCCTCCGATGTGATCATGCATCCCACTGGGCTCGAAATCGGGGATGGCATTCTCAAGACTCAGTGTCATCTTCACGAAATCAAGACATCCCACGCAACACACTGATTTCATCGACCCCGGAAGTAGCGTGCAATTCAACCGCCACGCATGCTCGCTCCGACAGAACATTTCGAATTGGCCGATCGAAACAAGCTCACAAAATAATCACAAATTACTCTTACAAAGATACACTAGCGGCGAACGCGAGATTAAGGGCCGCACCACACCGCGCCGAACTCGTCGCTGTAGTAGTCGCAGTCCTCCTTGGTGTACTCATCCGGCAAACACATGTCCCCGGCCGGGTAGTAGCATCCGCTGCAGTTTTCACACACGTCAGGCTGGGCAGACGTGGGCGAGGGACTGGTCGTGGGCTTGGTCGGAGACGGCGACACGGTCGGCGTGGGGCCGTCGCCAATCTGGGGGAACACGACGTCCTCGGCGACGTTGCACATGCCGAGGCCGCTCTCGCCGCGCTTGATGCGGATGTACCCGTCTTCGCCCCAGCTGGTGCTCCACGAGTTGCGGAGCTTGTAGGACGAATCGTCGTACCCCACGGCCACGACGGCGTGGTCCGATTCCGCGCCAGGGCATTGCGTGATGATGCCCGAGCGGTAGTTCATCCACACAGAGTTGCCCGCTTCGACAATCACCGACACGGGCTGCGTGTTGAGCGCCGTGTCCAACGCCTCCTCGCCCGACACGCGGACGGTCTCGCCAATGCTGAGCTGCTGCACGGTGCACGAGCTGCTGTCGCACGAGCCGGTCATGCTCGAGTCGCCCGACGTGTAGGGGTAGTCACTCTCCAAGCACAGCCCAGTCGTGGACGCGTACGTGAGCGCCGCGTACGGCCAGCCGCCGTTGCAGCCGTCGCTGCCAGCGTCGGTCGAGCAGCTCGTCACTTGTTGCTCGGACAAGTCGAGCAGTTCTCCCGTCACGATGCAGTGCGCGGGCTCGGCGGCTCCCACGGCGGAGAAGGCCCAGCACGACCCGCACTGGCCTTGGTCGCGAACGGGGTTGACACAGTCGCCCGTGGTCCAGTCCACCGATTCCGCCTTGGGAGCGGACACGTTCAGCTGCACCGACCGGACCGAGCGGAACGCGCTGCGGCTTTCCTTGAACATCACGCCTCGCACGTGCGCCTTGAACTCGGCTTGCGTCATGAGAGCGAACGGGTGGTTGTAGTCGAACGTGGCTTCGGGGTTGTTGCGGCGGGCTTCCTCAATCGCGAGCTTGTTGTCGTAGAAGCGCTGGAGCGCGTCCGTTTCCGCCTCCAACGGGTTCATGTGCTTGGCAGCGCGGGGCAGCACACCTCGGGCGGCGGCCTTGGCTCCAAAGTCCTCGCGCCACTTGGCCAACTCCGCGCGCAGCGTCGCGCGTTCGTCGGACGACAGGGTGGTCACGG